CTGCTTGCCGCACTGTAACAGTTCCCACAGTATCCCCGAGCGGCCTTGAGGTCGCCGGTGTCGCAGTATCCCGCCCCGCTCTTTCACGAAAGCACGAGAGGCGCAAGCGGTGATTGAGACATCGCATCGGATCAGCATGCGAGAAGTGCCCATGTCCCGCGGTGGGGGGAGAGGGCACGCCAGATGGCCAGGCCCCCCAGAGCGCCACAGAGGGGGCCACGCCTGGGTCCACGGGCGGGCACGTGTCCAGCAGGGTCCCCCCACATCCAGGAAGCCTCGAGAGGGCAGCAACTTCAGGAGGCAAACCAGCGACAGGGGCCGTAGGGTTGACATCAGGAGACACAGGGAGGCTCCAACAAGCGGGGACGTCCTGGGCCACGCATCGCACCCACAACTCGGTGCACGACCGTAACCACATGTGTTCTCTCGCCATCCAACTCCTCACACAATCACTGGTCTGAACGCACCCCCAAGGGGACCCGGCGGTTCTAACGGGAGTGAGGCCCTCGGGGATCGCATCCATGGGGTGCGAGGCTTGCACAAAGCTCGCCAAAGTGTACTCAATATACAAGCACGCGACCTTCCCCTCCTCAATAAGCTTGCCTACCGTATCAATCGTGTAGGGGGAGAGCAGGCTCGTGGAGTCGGTAGTCGCGCACTCAAGCACGATGGGCACACACGATCTCTTCGCCAAACTGGCTGTTCCGCAAACACTCTCATGGCGTTCTTGCTGTGATTCTCGTTGTAAACCACAAAAACAGCGTACGCGCATGGGAGAGGGGGGGGCGGGGGCCATGGGTGGCCCATTCTGCACGGGAGTGTCCCTAGGCATGGCAACAGCGGCAAGCAGCGCTATCTTTGGCTGCCTAGGGATACGGACTAGGGGGCGGAAAGCGGGCCCCGCAATCTTCACCGCGGGAACATGGGCGAAGCATTCCGACAGGCCCTTGGGACGGTTCACTCGTTTTACTTCCCGCCTTTCCACCAGGCACTCCGCCAGTTCCTCCTCGGAAGGGCGCAGCGGGGAATTAATCCAACACATGCGGCAGCTGGCCGCACTCTGAATGTGCTTCAACAATCTCGCAGTGTCCCAGAACTGGGTGACACAGAACTGGGTGTCCTCCTCCTCCTCCTCCTCCTCCTCCACATCTCCTCTACTCCTCTCCTCCGACTCCTCCTCCCTCCTCCTCCTCCTCCCTCCCCTCCTCCGCCTCCTCCTCCTCCTCCTCCTCCTGCTCCTCCTGCTCCTCTGCTTCCTCCTGCTCCTCCTCCTCCTCCTCTCCTCCCCCTCCCTTCCGCACCTGCCCAACTGTTCCAACTGCTCCAACTCCTCCAACTACTGCGCCTCCTCCTCTTCTTACTGCTCCTCCTGCTTCCTCCTGATCCTCCTCCTCCTCCTTCCTCCTCCGCCTCCTCCTCCTCTCCTACCTCCTTCCCCCTCCTCCTCCTCCTCCCCCTCCCCCCTCCCCCTCCCTCCCCCCCTCCTCCTTCCTACTCCTCCCTTACCACCTCCTCCTCCTCCTCCGTCCTCCCTCGCCTCCTCCTCCACCTCCTCCTCCTCCTTCTCCCCTCCTCCTCCTCCTCCTCCTCTCCTCTTCCACCTCCATCCTCCTCTGCCTCCTCCCCCCCTCCACCTCCTCCTCCGCCTTCCCGTCCAAATTCCTCCTATCTCCTCCCTCCTACCCTCCTTCCTCCCTCGTCCGTCGTCCCACCTCCCTCCTCGTTTCTCCTTCCTCCCTCTCCCTCCTCACTCACCCCCCTGCACCTCGTCCCTCGCCCCTCGTCCCTCGTTCCTCGTCCCTCGTCCCTCGTCCCTCGTCCCTCGTCCCTCCTCACTCGACCCTCGTGTCTCGTCCCCCTGCTCCCGCTCCCTTCTCCCTTCTCTCTTCTCCCTTCTCCCTTCTCCCTGTTCCCTGCTCCCTGCTCCCTGCTCCTGCCCCTCCTCGTGCTCCTGCTCCTCATCCGCCTCCTCCTCCTCTTCCTCCCCCGCTCTGTCTCCTCCTTCTCTTCTTCTGTCTCCCCTCCACCTCCTCCTCCTCCGCCTGCTCCTCTCTGCTCCTGCTCCTGTCCGCTCCTCTTCCTCCTCCTCATGCTCCTCCTCCTCCTCCTCCTTCCTCCTCCTTCCGCCTCTGCTCCTGCCTCCTCGTCCTGCTCCTCCTCCTCCTCCTCCTCCCCATCCCCCTCCTCCTACCACACACCTCCTCCTCCTCCTTCCTCCTCCTCATCCTCTCGCAGTTCTCCTCCCTCCTCCTCCTCCTCCTCCTCCTCCATCCTCCTCCTCTTCATCCCCGCCACCTCTGTCTCCTCCTCTTCTCTCTGCCTCCCTCTGCCTCCCCTGTCTCCTTGACTCCTCTGTCTCCTCCTCGCTTATCATCGTTCTCCTCCTCTTTCTCCTCTCCTCTCCTCTCTCTCATCCTCATCCTCCACCTCTTTCCACCTCCTCCTCCTTCTTCTTCTCCTTCCTCCAGCCGTCCTCCCTCCTTAACCTCCTTGATTCCTTTGATTCGATTCTTTCCTTCCTTCCCTTTCCATCCTTCCGTCCGTCCGTCCGTCCCGTCCTTCCTTCCCTATCATCATAATCCTTCCTTCCTTCCTTCCTTCCTTCCTTCCCTCCTTCCTTCCTTCCCTCCTGCTCCTCCTCCTCCTCCTCCTCCTCCTCCTCCTCCTCCTCCTCCTCCTCCTCCTCCTCCTCCTCCTCCCCCCCTCCATCTCCACCTCGTTCCTAAGTCATCCTGCCTCCTCCCTCGTCCCTCGTCCCTCGTCCCTCGTCCCTCATCCCTCGTCCCTCGTCCCACGTCCCTCGTCCCTCCTCCTTCCTCCCTCCTCCCTCCTCCTCCTCCCTCCCCCTCTTCCCTCCTCTCTCCTCCCTCCACCCTCGTCCCTGGTCCCTGGTTCCTCGTCCCTTTTCCCTCCTCCTCGCTCCCTGCTCCCTGATCCCTGCTCCCTCTCATCCAACTCCTGCTCTCCGCCTCCTCCTCCTCCCTCCCCTACTCCTCTTCTGCTCCTCCTCCGACTCTTCCTCCTGCTCCTTACTCCTCACACCTCCTCCGCCTCCTCCTGCTCCTCCTCCTCCTCCTCCCTCCTCCCCCTCGACCACCTCCTCCTCCTCGTCCGCGTCCTCCTCCTCCTCCTTCCTTCCTCCTCCACTCCTCCTCCTCCTACTCCGCCTCCCCGCCACCTCCTCCTCCTCTCCTCATCCTCCTCCTCCACCTCCCCCCCCTCCACCATCCTCCTCCTCCTCCTCCTCATCCTCCTCCTCCTCCTCCCCCTCCCTCCACCCCTCCTTCCTATTTTGTAAACCTCCTCCTCCCTCCTCGCCATCCTCCCACCTCCCTCCTCCCTCGTCCCTCGACCCTCGTCCCTCCTCCCTTGTCCCTCGTCCCTCGTCCCTCGTCTGTCGTCCCTCGTTTCTCGTTTCTCGTCCCTCCTCCCTCCTCCCTCCTCCCTTCCTCCTTCTCCTCCCCCACTCTCCACCTCCACTCTCTTTCTCTCGCCATCCTGTTTTTGCACTGCTCCATCCCCCTCCGCACCGCCAGGCGTGACGGGACAAGCGGGTCTGCCGCTCGGCCCGGGGAAGTCATGCCCGAGGCTGGCCCGGAGGCCTGAAACCGACAACAGCCACGCGGATGGTGGGCGAATCGTCTGAAAAACGTGACCCTGGCGATCGCGCCGCGCGCACTCGGATCACTCCTTCTCGGCGGCGAGCCCAGGGGGCGAGGGGGGTGGGAGGGGACGGGCGCTATCCACAAAGGCGGCGGGGCCTCTCCAAAAGCCCCCCCCGCCTTCTGAGCAGTCGCCTGCCTGCTGCGGAGAAGGCCCAGAGAGAGCTCCTCGGGGAGCGCGGGGGCTTCCGAGGAGCCCCGCCGTCGCCTGCGCAGGCTCGCCCCCTCTCCCTCCCCCCATTGGGGGCTCGCTGCCGACCGTGCGCGCGTGTCGACCAGGCACGCAGAGGGATGGCGGGCGCGTGCTGCACGTGGCTCTCGCCTCGGGGCAAGCACGTGCTCGTCTTGGCAGCGTCCGCCAACAAACAGGCGCGGACGAAGGGCAGGCCCCTGTCAGGAGCGGAGGCCGCGGTTGCGACCTCCCTCGTGCCCCCCTTCGAGGCATGACCGGCTGCTCTACGGATGGAGTAGTGCAGCTCGCTTTCGAAAAACTGTATGGTGAGCGTTTTCTGCTGATTCGGCGTTTCGACAGTGTGCGGAGGGGGGGGGAGGAGGGGGGGTCTGGCTCAAGACCTCTGGTTAATGCCACTGCTTGCAGCAATGCGTACTATGCGGGGGAGACTCCGCCTGACCGAAACAGGCGACCACAACAGCAAAGAGGTACTTCAGGGAGAGGGAGGGAAGGGGGTGCGAGGGCCCAGGCCGATCGGCAAACCACGGAATACAAAACGATCACAGCAATGCTTGATTTGGGAACCTGTTCGGATGGCATGAGCGCCTCATGCTTGCGAGGCAGATCGTCTCAGCTGGAGGGCGGCTCCTTCCTGAACAGGGGCCACCTGACGCTGACCCCCTATACCAAGGAAAACCCTGCTTGCCTCCAGGGTGCCCTGGGTTTCTTGGGTTTCGATGGTTTTTTGCTGTGGAAGGCGTGACGTTCCCACACCAAAAATGGATGGACGCCCTGGGGTCTCAGGGCTGGGCTTCCTGGAAGGTTTCTTGTGGACTGGCCTCCACTGTATGAGGACCTAGCTTTCTTGGCCTGTCCGGCAGGTCGAAAGATGGCGGGCGGGTACTCCTCGACACGGGGCCCTTGCCTGCATGCCAAGCCCAGTGGGACACCTCGTGAATCTGGTTCCGATCCTGGGTCAGCCAGGGGGGATCGGAGGGGGCTGGTCGACCCTGGCCAGGGCAGACCCCCAATGCCGAAACATCCGACGTCGCGATCTTCTCTGCCCACTTGGCCGCCAAAGGTCTGCGCCCCTTCTCAGGCACTGGCTGGCGTTTCGCCCCAGCTCGTACAGTCGGCCCGTATCATGGGGATGCGCGATCAGGGTGTAACCTGCCGTCGCTCGGACGTCCATTTCCTGCGCATGTTTCGGTGTCGTGCGTGTTTTTCCCTCGATGGTCCAGAATGGTCCTCGTGGTTTCTCGCCGAGAAAAAATGCACACGTCCGAGCGATGCCAAGGTAAGGGCCTTGAACGCCCATTTCGAAGCTGTTCGAGCGGGGCGCGGCCAACGCAAGTGGCCAAGGATGGACCGCCCTGGGGCTCTTCCAAGAAGCCCAGGGAGGTCAAAATCCCAGCAGCCAGCCTTCTTAGGGCGTCGGTGGTTCAGCGAACTTCCTCCTCCAACCCCGCCTCCCCCTTCGGGGATAGGTTGATCACTGTTCCCTATTAAGAAACACCCCCACCCCCACCCGGCCGGCAGCCAACCCAGAACCATGCGCACACCACGAGGGTGTCTCCCACCATCCCTGTCAAAAAACAATACAAACACACACACACACACTCTGCCTACAAATTCGGAGCACGTGCAAACAACCCGATGCGCCCCCCCACCATTCCTGTCAAAAAACAATACCCAATACACTTTGGGGCAAAATCTGGAGTCATGTTCGTGAGGCCCGCGGACACTTTGTAGTGCTTCTCGACAGGGACGGCGGGAGGGTCAGCATGTTGCCTGATGCGCGCAGGGCTACCATCCCTGACAAACACACAATACAAAATGCACCTCGCGGCCAAATGTGGATAGTACGCGGCCACCCCGCGGTCATTGTCCAGTGGTTTTTGTCAGGGATGGCGGGTGTGGTGGCGTATGGCCTGATGTGCGCAGGCCTACCAGACACAATGATGGGCATTGATTTTCGACAGGGATGGTGGGGGCCGACATGTTTCCGGATGTGTGCTGTCACGTGCGCAGGCGCACCTGACACACTCTGCACGCGCCCTGGACGTGGCGCACCTGGCGCGTCGCCCCAGCGTCGCGCACATGGGCTCGGTTTTGATTCCCAGTAGCTGTCCATCAAAGTACGACTGCGGAACATGTTGAGGCTCGGGTGTTACTTATGTGTTGGGAGGGCGGGTGGGAGAGAGCTAGACGGATTGCTATCTGGAGGGTGTCTTGACCCTTCCCCCATACCCCCTACCCCTGGGTCTGAACGGAGCGTTTCGCGAGACGTTGGAGCGTCCAAGATGGCCTCGGCGAGGAAACCAAACTCTTTGATTTGACTGTGGTGTTGGCCACATGTTGGCCAGCTTCTGGGTGGGGGGCCTGATTGAGGAGCTCTCCTCCTTTGATCAATATCCTCCAAGATGGACCCAAGATCGCCCCCGAGGCTCCGAGAGGTGCCTAGGAGGCTCCAGGAGGCCCCTAAGAGGCCCCCGAGAGGCTCCCGAGAGACCCCCAAGACGCCCCAAGAGGACCGTCAGAGGCACCCAAGACGCCACAAGAGGCCTCGGCAAGATGGCCACACTCATCGACTTGACTTAGGTTTTGGCTACATTTTGGCCACCTGGGATGGCGGTGGGGGACCCTGAGAAAGGAGCCCCACTCATTTGATCGATCTCCTCCAAGATGGCCCCAAGATGGCCACTGAGGCTGCCATGGATGCCCCAAGAGGGCCCCAAGAGGTGCCCAGGAGGCCTCCAAGAGGCCCCAAGATGCCCACAGGAGGCTCCCAAGAAACCCCAAAGACGCCCCAAGAGGCCCCTCAGAGGCACCCAAGACGCCACAATAGACCTCGGCAAGATGGCCACACTCATTGACTTGACTTAGGTTTTGGCAACATTTTGGCCTCCTTGGGTGGCGGTGGGGGACCCTGAGAAAGGAGCCCTACTCATTTGATCGATCTCCTCCAAGATGGCCCCAAGATGGCCACTGGGGCTGCCATGGATGCCCCAAGAGGGCCCCAAGAGGTGCCCAGAAGGCCTCCAAGAGGCCCCAAGATGCCCACAGGAGGCTCCCAGGAGACCCCAAAGACGCCCCAAGAGGCCCCCCAGAGGCACCCAAGACGCCCCAAGACGCCGCAGCAATATAGCCAAGATCATTGCTTGTACCCAGGTCTTCGCCACACGTGGGTCTCCTTGGGCGGGGGGGGAACCCTGAGTTTAGGTCGGGCATGCCCTCCTACAGGCGGACGCCCAGCTGGCGAGGTTTTAAACTATTAGGTTCAGGTTTAGGCTTTGACTATTTTGGATAATCCCTCACGTAGAGGAAGGAGCCCCCCTCGCTCCCCTCCACGCCACGGTGGCCAGACGGTGGCCCCCGAGGCACCCCTGGGTGCTGGAGGGGCGACAGGGGGTCGATGCACGCCCCCTGCGCCCGTCCCCCCCTGACGTTGCCCCTGACGATACCGTCAGGTCGGGCATGTCCTCCTACAGGCGGGCTTAAGACGAAAAAGAAGAAAAATGGTCCGAAAATCATTCGAAGTAATGAATAATTGTAGAAGAATCGTCCCCCGACTATTTTTTGACTATTTTGGAATATTCCTCCTTTCGGTGACCCCCTTCCTGCTGCCCACCTCCCTCGCCCGCGCTGGGCTTCTACTCTGACCCGGGTCAGTGCAGACCCCGGTCAGTCAGGCTCTGCAGGATCCTGCAAGATCCTGCAGTCTCCTGCACGCAGGCAGGGGTCAGTGTAGCCCTGGCCTTGCAGGATCCTGCAAGATCGGGCCGAAGCCCCGTCTGCACTGACCCCCGTCTCAAGGCTACTTACCCGACAGGAGAGCGCCTCGCCCTCCTCCTCCGCCGCTGGCGCAGGCGCCGGGCCCGCCGCCACGAGGAGGTGCTCCTCTCCCGCCGGGCGGAGGGGCGGAAGCTCTGGGGCGCCTCGTTATATTCGCAATTGGGGGCGGGACACACACACAGCAAAGCCAAGCAGAGAACTCTGGGACCCGATGTCTCTCCGCAGCTGGGGGCGGGACGAGGAGGAGGAGGAGGAGCAGTGTAAACCCAAGAGCCATCAACGATGTTGGAATACACCCTCCCTCCAAACTTCCTCTTCATAGGCCCCTACAACGGCTCATTTCCATTGAGGGATCTGCCTCGTTGGAAGACAACCGTTTGAAGACCCGGAAACATGCCAAAACATTGTTCTCGGGATTCCAACGCCACGGATCAACCTGAATGTTGCGTCTTGACGGTCCTGGATCTTGACAGAACGGAATTAACGGGATTTCAACACCGCGAATCAACAGAACTGTTGCACCCGTAAAATCCCGAATCCTTTCAAAACACTATTTCTGGTACGTGGATCGTGGGAATCCGTGACACTCTTGCATTTTTGTAGAGCGACTGTGCGTGTCGCGAAGGCAAGAACCACATTTTGAAAAAGAGCCGCCCTCAATCCGTGAAGCTCTTGCACTTGTTTAGAACGAATGCACGCGGCGGTAAGGCAAGAACCACATGTTGAAAAGAAACCGCCCTCAATACGTGAAACTCTTCCAATATTTTGAACGAATGCGCGTGGCGCTAAGGCGAGAGCCACATCTAATTACTCCGATGGTAAGGCCACACATGAGAATATGTTTAGCTTACCCTTAGCCCTTGCCCCGTCGCCCTGGCGGACATCCTCCTCTCGCCCTGAGCTCTGCTCTCTCCTCTTCCTCCTCCTGTTTATCTATCCCCCTCCTCCTCCTCCTCCTTCTCCACCTCCTCCTTCTCCACCTCCTCCTTCTCCACCTCCTCCTTCTCCACCTCCTCCTTCTCCACCTCCTCCACGCCCCCCGTATTCAGGCCGCAGGAGCTGAGGAGCCCAAAATGTGACGAAAATTACATGAATCCGATGACCCACTCGGATTACCAACACGACGTGTGACAACAGTTCCACGGTAGGGACGACCCGCTCGGATTACTAACATAATGGTCGGGCCCCATTTGGAGGAGGCTCCCGCCTGAGACTTCCTCGCAGTTCGCTCACAGGCGAGGCTCCCGCCTGATACTTCATCCATATTCAGGCCTCAGCACCCCAAAAGTGACGACAATTACAAGGTTCCGATGACCCGCTCTGATTAAATTATCCCGGCAAAGCAACCTAACACCGATGTGTCTAAGTATAACTGAAACATGCAGCAGCAGTGAAAGGCACTGTGAGACCAACAGTAACAGTAATAGTGATGCAAAAGCTGTTGTTATCGTCGCGCTGAGATTGATTCCATGTGTTGTCAAACAAGGTACTGCCATGGACGCATGTCGCTTGAATGACTACATGTATAAACGAGACACTGCTATCAACGCACGGAACTGGAATAGATATATGTCCAAACGAGACACTGCTATCAACGCGTGGAAAATGAATGGATGCTTGTTCAAAGGAGACATTGCTATCAACGCATGGAGTTTGAAAGTATGTTTCTCCAAACGAGACACTGCTATCAACGCACCGACCTTGAATGGATGTCCGTCCAAACGAGACACTGCTATCAACGCTGGGAACTTGAATGGATGTGTATCCAAACGACACTCTGCTATGAACGCATGGAATATCAAACGATGTATGTCGATGAAAGCGAGGACGGCCTGTATGCATTAGTGTGCGCTTATCTTGTGATGTTGTTTTGGAAGCGCTCATGTCTATCATCGTTTGCACAGCAGACGGGGATGCTTGTATCTTCTTGCGCACAGGTACAGTCGGCATCTGAAGCGAACAACCGGCTGCAGGCTGAGAGGCCTCGCAAAGAGTCGCAGGCTGAGAAGCACCGCGACCGCGCAATTGGAGACTGAAGCTAAGGCTAGCATACAGGAAGCGCAGGACGAGAAGCACAACGCGACAACCGGCTGCAGACTGAGAAGCACCGCAAAGAGTCGCAGGCTGAGAAGCACCGCGGCCGCGCAAGTGGAGGCTGAAGTTAAGGCTAGCATACAGAAAGCGGCAGGCTGAGAAACACCGCGCGAGAGCAGGCTGTGACGCACCAAACTGGCCGGGTCATCATGCTGCAACTCACGGTTCCTCAGGCTCGTGCAGGCCAGCCTAAGTCTTGTCGAGCTTTCGCGCAAGCGATCTTCGTCGCGGCAATCTTGTCCGCGAAGAGCTCGGCGAAAGCCTTGGCGATATGTTCAGGAGGACCGCCTTCGATGATGCTCCTGTCAGGCAAGCCGTGGCTCAAGAGTTGTTTGAAGCTTCTGGGGCGCGACAGGCTGACGTAGTAGGCAAGCCAAATGGACTCCTTCTTCAGTCCGGGCGGAAACGCCCAGTGGACGATGAAGCCTGGATCCGCCGTCTTGCCCTGGACGCCATGCAGAGTCCCCTGCTTCTTGGGCAACACGGGCAACTGCGTCCTGGACACCGCGATGGCCGGGCCACCTGTCTTCGCCTTGAACTTCCACGGGCGCGCCTGCGGTGTGATCGCGAGCACTCCGCGGAGGTCAGGGCCGGCAGACTGAGAAGCACTGCCAGCTGTTACCTTCGCGGCCTTCAAGAAGAGTTCATCGCTGTCATCGATCTTGACATACACAGCCTTTGGCATGTAGTAGAGTACGACCACACCGTCCGATACAATGGACGGCCGGCCCTCCAGCAAAGGCTCCAGAGCGTGCAGCTCTATGCCTACCACTTTGCCTGGCGCCCCGCGGACATACTTCGGCGGCAGGACGGATTCCGTCAGGATGACTTCCATGCCAATGGAGAGCGGCAGCAGCCCTGGCATTTTTGCGGTAGCGCCGATGTTGGGCTCCGCGCGCATCTCGTCGAAATCAGGCTTCGCGAGGCGCGCAGCTGGTCTGTCGATTGCTGGTACGTAAAAGAGCAGCTGGCCTGCATCGTGCGCATCAAGCTTGGCCTGTGCATGCATGGCGTAAGAGACGATGCGCCACTCATAGGCCGACTCGTACCAGCCTCTCGCTGCACGCAACCGAGGATCCCATTGAAGTGGCTGATCGGCTGCGCTGTTGCTGGCAGCAGGCTGAGCAGCACCACCAGAGCTAACGATTTCTGTTTTGACGATCGCCTGCCAGCTGTCGTCAGAGAACTTTTCCCCGCCTGTAGTTCGCATAGCGTGGAGAACCTCGACTTGCAACGGGTCCGTAAAGCGTTGCATCTGCACGAAATCGATGACGTACTCGATGTCGGCGAGCAACTTCCTACCCTGTTGGTGTTCGTAGGATTGGCCCGCGTGAGGCGCCAGCAGGGAAGCGGTGGCGGGGACTGACGGCAACTGGTAGAAGTCCCCGCACAAGATCTTCACAGGCATGCGTCCCCACGTCTCCTGCGGCCGCATGTACTTCGCGGGGTCCAGGTTGTAGCGCAACGCCCTGCCGTAGGTCGTGCGCAGTGCATCTGCATGCAGCAAAGGCCCCGGCACAGCACCCAGCTCATAGATCACGTCGACGCCGAGTGTGCCTGTGAGGCGATCCAGCTTTTTCTGCGTCTGTGGCGTCAAGCGCAGCCTGGCTGTCTGCATGGAATCCGACATGAGCAGGCCATTGGAGGAATGCTTGGTCCTGCCGCGCGGGCCAAGGTTGTGTGCGGCGTGGTTGGACTGCGCCTTGCCGAGGTACCCCTGCTCGCCGAAGTAAGTGATGGCCATCGGCTCCACCACTTTGGAGAGGGTGCGCGTCTTGCCGACACCGCCTCCACCGAGCCAGATCGCTCTGTGGTTGCCTGACGCGGACGCCACGGGGAGGAGATGCGTTGTCTTGTCTGGTCTGCCGTCAAATCGTTTCTGCAGAGACAACGCAAACAACGCCACCGCGTCAATCTGCTCCTCCGTGCAGTGGGCATCAGTGACGAGCTTCCACGCAACAGCCGCCGGGCCCTGCATGGCCAAGAGCTGCGGAACGAGTTCTGGTTGGGCGTCCTCGGCAGCAGGCTGAGGGGCACCGCTGGGGAGCCAGTCGTCCGCAGCATCGGGCAAGATCTCTCCATCCGCGCTCGTTTGCTTTTTCTGTAGCGCTATGCTTTGCCGCTGCAAGGCTAGCATGTCAGAAAAGCTCTCGTTCAGTCGCGTGCCCAGATGCTCCCGCGCGCCCGTGCTGGCTGGCTGTGCAAAGCTCGCGTGCAGCATGCCGCCGTACGCTCGATTGAGATTCTTCAGCTGCTTGTCGGCGTAGCTGAGGCGGCCCTTCAGATCCAAGCGGTGCAGGTGATCTTGCTGCAGGGCCAGCTCGGTTGCTCTGACGTGGTCCCGCAGCGGGAACAGGGAGATCTCTGTAATCGCGGCGTCCTCGACATCCTCCTCCACGTCGCTGCCGCCGCCTCCACCCACGTCACCGAGCTCCAGCGGGACTCGGCCGTTGGGCCTTTCGGCATCGCTCGCGGAGTCTTCATCGGCCTCGAGGTGGGCACTCGCCGCTGGCCGAGGCTTCACCCGCGCCTCCGCCGCGAGTTCCACGTGCGCCAGCACGTCTCGCGCCACGTACGCGCAGAACTCCGCCAGAGTGCACTGTTCCTCGTGCCACCTGCAATGGTGGTTACTGAAGGCGAGGATGCGCCGTGCCGCCTCCACTGGCATGCGCCGCGCCAGCTGAGACCTTGCGAAGGACGCTAGGCTGAGGAGCACCAGCTCACCCTCGTCGAGGTTCGCCCGAGGCTCTTTCAGCTCGGAGAAGAGTGTCGTGTCCGCGAGCACGAGCATCTTGCGGGCCAGGCGGCATCTGGTGTCTGCGCGCGCCGCCAGCACGTGGATCTCCGCGCAGCGAAGCCGCCACGCCCGCTCGAACGAGCATGGGCGCACGGCGGGGCAGTCGCAGTTCCTCAGCAGATGGCTGTACTGAGTAACGCAGCCACAAGAGAGGGGACCCTCGCATGCCCAAGGCGCGAAGAGGAGGGCCTTGAAGAGCGAGTTCTGCTCGGGG